TTTTATCAGACCAGGAATGGTTACCATATGTTAACAGCTGTAAGGTTGTACAGTTTTCCTGTAATAATTGGAGGAGGCAGTTGATACCTGATAGCTGTGCATGTTTTTTGTGAGGGGAGGGGGGGGGGCAAGATAGGACATGGGACTTGTTACTGGAAATCAGTCTAAACATTTGGAAACAAACTTGTTGTCCTTTACTGATAGTTGAAATAGAAAACATGAAAATATACCTTTACCTCAAAATTTCAAAGGGTGTAAACACTTCCCCAAATTCAGAAGGTGGGCTTATTAAAGGACACTCAGATAGCATAGATTGTCATGTCTACTGAAACCCCAAAATATAGGGGTGGGCTTATTATCAGGCATGGGGTGAGTGGATAATATAACTTCAAATGTTTTGTGTATTTCAAGATGTGATAAAGCTAAGAGAAGTTATGTAACAGAATTAGGTACATGGCCATATGTTATAAATAACAGAATTTTGTGCAGAGGAGTGGGGAGGGGAGGGGCTGGGAATTTACAATGAAAAAATGAAATATATGTGATGTAAATGTATTTTGATAAGAAAATGTGTCAAGGTTTATAAGAGTCATGGACTAATAGTCATAACGACAGACAGGGTCTGGAATGGTAATAGAATAATGATAACAATGCTTGATTATACCTACAGACAATCTGTGTTGGGGTGTGAGATGTTTTGGGGTCATGACCTTTACCTCCCAATTGATATACCACATGGTAGACACAAGTAAACAATATATCTGCCACTGTAAACATTTGTATCTTGGTAATTACACGACCCCTCCAGATTCCTGGGGCGCTAACATCCTCCCTCTGGTTGGGGAGGCAACCTGATAGGATCCCACTTATACAGGGCAAGGTAGGGAAAGTGACTGATGAGAGGCCCTACAGGGGCACTCCTTAAAAGTTAGATAGTGCATAAAAATTTGGGGAGAATTACACTTAGGTTTTATTTTTTAAATAAACTTTTTTGAAGTATAAATGATAATTTTTATTAATTGATGTCATCTTTAGGTTTTTTAAAATAACTAAATTAACATTTACTTGTGTCTTTCTTAATTTCTCAGTTTTCAAGATATATTTCAAGTATAACGATATTTGTTTGTTTTCTTAAATATCATTTATAGAAAAAATATATGAAAAATAACTAGGAATTATAAAATTAAGATAAAGACAAATATTTGCTGATTAATACTTCAGATTAATTAATAACAAATCATTGATTTTTATTTTTAAAAATTTTTGAAAAATGAAAGAATTAAAAATGTGATTTTGGTTGATTTTGTAAACAAGGAAATATTTCCATTGTTTTACTCGGCAGGATCTAGATCTCTCATTCAGGTGATATCAACAACTTCAAGGTATTCCCAGTCTTTTAAAATTTAATTTCCGATGACTCATATAGGTTCTGTACTATTTGTGGAAACATGATCTTAATCTTAACGGGGTATTATCAAAAGCACCTGTCATCCGAAACGATTCCTATTTCTGCTTGGCATATTTGATTGTGGTGATAAGAACATGGACTGTGTCTGCATTAATACAGAATGAATGACTTGTGTATGTTGGCAATATACTTCTGTAATCAATTAGTGTGCTGATCAGGGTCATTTCATGTTCACTGTACATTGAAGAACTGTATCAAAGGGAGACAACTGAATAATTTCAAACACAATGGAAAGATAAAACATTATTTATATTTAGAATAGATTTCTTAAAATAATATTGTGAATCATTTAGACAATGATGTTTTATTAGTGTTATTTTACTATCAGATAAATTATATACATGTATATAAATTATTGTAATTTCAACGCATTAGTATTTAACAGAAATTATTAAAAAGAAGTGTTAAGGCATATAAAGTTATTAAAAAAAATTATAATAAATTTAATTCTTTATCGTTTATAAGTAAAATAACATAAATCAAGAATCAAAAAGTTCAGTTGTACGATTCCCCTGTGGTGAGCCCCTACTTAGGGTCAGTTGAAAGGTTGACTACTTCATTCAGATGGCTTGAGGATAATGGTTTCCACACATTTTACTGTGCAGTGGAAGCCAGCTTCAATATTTCCAGTTTTGTGCCCTTCTTACTAACTTTTGACATCATAACTGGAGAACAACAGCTATGTCCTATCAGACAAAACAATCTATGGCCAGCCAAGGTAAGTTTTTTATAGATCACAGGCCCTACAAGTACCATGGGAAGAGATGTTTTACAGGCTCCCTGTACCAAAATTTTATTTCTTTAGTTAAAAGTTTGTTGTTGTTTGTTTGCTTATTAGTGTACATACCTACAATTCTGTATTTATTTTTGGGTTTGTAACAAATCAGTTAGATATTATTTGGGACTCAACATTTTTAATGAACTGGTGATTGTATAAGTAGATTTATGATATAGTGTACCTACAGTGTAAGTGTAGAGATCTGCTGTTATCTACTCTCTTAACCTCTATGTGTGAAATGTTCCACTGTTGTAGGTTCTATGTAATACCAATGTCAACAATTTCTGCTCTAACTCAAACTTTCAATCTTCTTGTGTGGGTTTGGTCAACATTCACACAAGTTTCTTTGTTCATTTTTAAGATAGCCATCAGAATTACTCCCCTTGTTTTTTAAAAGTCTTTTTGATCATTACAAGGGCAAATGGGTACAAAATTCAGATCAAGTGATCTGCAAATTCTTGCCGTTGAAAAGCAAGTCGTGACTGTATTTTGAACTTGTGATAGAAATACTTATTTGTTTAGAAATAAGTCAGTGTAATGGATAATAGGTTATGAATGTTACCTGTTTTTCAAAAGAAACAAGAAATTCTTAATTGTTCAGATAGACAACTTACAGTGAAGTTTTGTTAGTTTTAGAAAAATTAGACAAGTATAAATTGCTGGAAATGATAAATTATGAATCGTGCTAATGTAGAGGTTTTCAAAGTCCTGATGTTTTTATAAATAACACCTTTAGTATATGTCAGTTGGGTACATATTAATTGACAGGACAACAATTAATATGATTTGTGGATGTTTTTGGTCAACATCTCACAAATATGTTCAATCAGAGAAAAACATCAACACCTGACATAGAACAGCCATTAGCTACAGGCTTCACACAGTCAGCAGTGCCCTAGTAAGGCCCCTTTAGGTGATTGAAAAGGTCTTTATTGTCCTTTGGGGGGCCATTATAATGATTTATAAAGGGCCATAATTAGATTTCCCAAGGGGAAACCTTCTAGTATTGTCACCATAGGGAGTTCTGATAACTGACTTTGTAATGGACACTTCGGACAATGGTCAAAAGAATGGACAATGGTTAGATGACCTGGGAAGGTAACGCAGAGGAATGATTGTCATGGTGATTGAAAAAAGTAACAGGAAAAATTCGGGAAAAATATGAAAGGTTTGTGATCTGAAATGTTTGAACAGCTGACCATATATTACAATATATGGCTTCAAACTTTATACTGGCTCATGTTTCTAGAATTTTGAATTTGATCACTGGAATATATCTGATTCTGTGGAAATCGAGAAATAAACCAGACAGTATTTAACTAAAAGACTGGACAAAGATAACTGATAGAATTGTCTCTGTGTTTTATGGCTGTGAAACAGTCTCTAAAACCTACACAACACATATTCATTATCATTATAGCTAGTGGTATTTGTTAGGGTGATGTCAGAGGAAGTGAAAAGTTTGTTGGGATGTTTAATTTGTCGAATATGTGATAAACATCAAATAATGTCATTCTATAAACACGTCTTGATTGGGAGTATTGAAAAAGGAATTTTTTCAGAAACATACATAACTTTCCCTTCTTTAACACTTTTTGTAATTTTCAGGAGGCTGTTTGTAAATCTTGTGTTCTTTTATTTCACCGTAGTTTTGTCTAATTTGAGTTCAAAAATTAAGATTCTATTTATTCTGTTGTTGCTTTTCTCCATCATCCTGTTTCAAACACGTTCAAAAATCATCGCCACATTGACTTTACAACACTTCATGATCATGACCTTCAATTTTTCATGAATCAAGACAACAAGAAAAAGTTTTAGAGTAAATCACATCATCATTAGGTTTGTCGTACTTTTCATCAAATTTCTATCTATATTTATCGGCCTTGTTATCAATGCAATTAAGGAAATTGACTTGAATAAAAGTAAGGTGGAAAAAAGACCATAAAAGTGTCACATTTTCTGTAAACCAGGAACAAATCTATAAATACAGATTTATAGCATGACCTGCAGACAAACTAGTATCACTCCTTAGTGAAAAATTTCCCATTATGAAAATGGCATTAACAAATTACGGTAGATATTCTTGAAAATGATCAACTGATATTCAACTGGTGATTAACATTTTGTCTCATGTGAAAATTTTACGTATTTAGTGAAGATTGGTTTATGTTAAAATTAACATTACAACACATTTAGTAAAACAAAGCAATTCTTTTTATTATCCATAAATTGATTATGAATTATCATTTAATTTTCTGATATTCACAATGTGGGGATTTTTACCGTAATTCCAGACAGGTCTTTTTTTGCGTAGTTCATCAGTCATCTTTGAAGCTGCTACATAACATGTACATGCTTCAAAATGATCCATTTCATTCGGGCGACTAGGAGAGAGAAAGCTGTTCAGTAGCAAATATCGCTAGAATTAATTGGTTCCATCATGCTGCATAACGAATCAAAAGAAATTCTTCATAACCTTGGAAAATGCGTCTTCCGTTACCATAGCAATGCATTTATCAATATATAACAGTGTCTGTTATTGGATAGGTGTGCGTTTTGTGTGATGTATAAAGGATAATCTGTAGTGGACCTCCATTGTGATGGGAGGTTGGTGTCGCAATCTCAAATCATTAATATGCTTCCTTGTATTTGAATTAAACAAACATTCAGGATGCAGTAATATTCTTTTTGAAGGTACTGTAATACTCTTTAGAATATTTTCTTTACTGATGTTTCTTCGTTCTGTCATTCCAGGCCAGGCCAGTAACCCAGATCTCTCCGCGACGGGAGTCATTGCTATAGGAGCTGTGTGTGCCGCAGTCCTCATCGCACTGCTCTGTGTTCTCGTCTATTTCATTTGCCGGCGGCGACAAAATAACGGTGAGTATCGCACATATCTGACCAGGGTGGACCAGTTTTTCTCGTCTCTGTTTAGTTTGTAAGTCAAGGATACGTCAGATCCATTGTACTGTGTGTAATACCTCTATTTTACCTCATGATCAAGTCATGTGACATTTTTAGCGCGATATATATGGTAAATCGTCATGAGAAAATCTGATTTCTGATTCAGTTCGAGTTTGATTAAACCAATCTGCATTCATAGCTTTCATAATATTCATGACTTCTTAAATTTCATGTCAAGTCTTGCATAATCTTGAAATTTAAAATCTAAAATTTAAACTCAAATTCAATATTTTATTCATGATGTTTTTGCTTGAACACGATTGGTTTTTGGAAAATTAAGTGTAAATGATTGATAAAAGAGATTTTTGGAGTTAATCTTGAATTAAAAGTGCAATGATGGTATAATTTGTAATGGCGGTGGTATTAGAACTGTCCTTTGTGTGCCTTTGTTCTGTCTACCGCAGATTAGATAAATTGACAGCTTCAGTGTAATTGATTAGATAAATTGACGCCCTCGGTGGAATTGAATTTCGATGTTTTCTGTGACAAAGACATTTGATATTTTCTGATGCAGGTGTTGATTGTTGAAATTGACATTTGTCTCATACAGTGACCTACTTCTCATACACTGGAAATCTAAAAAGTAAAATGGGACTACATTTATTACTGTTTTGACAGAAATGATTTAGAATTTATGATATTGGCAGCAGTTTAATGATTTGACGGATGGGTAGTGTTTTATTATTTATATCATCTCAATTCGCAAGTAATAATTTTGACATGAGAATGAAATGAAGTGATGTTGGGTGGCCGTGTGTGATGGTGGCACTGTCTGACGGGGGCTCTATGACGGTAGGGTGTGTACTTGATATTAGGGATTGATACAATGATAATCTGTATTTTATTTGGATTTGATCTCCATGTCTTCCATAACCATCCCATGCAATTTCTGTCTCTCTGTCTCTGTCTGTCTGTCCATTTGTCTGTGTTCATCCATCTGTCCGTCATCTGTCCAATATTTGTACTTTCTGTCAATGCTAAATATACATGTACATTTTGTACGGCTGTCCTGTTTCCACTTTCTGACAATTCTATTGTGTTTGTGCCAATTACCTGTTCTGTCTGTCTGTCTGTTTGTGTCCATCTATCTGTTGCTGTTCTGTCTGTCTGTCTGTGTGTGCCCATCTATCTGTCACTGATCTGTCTGTCTGTCTGTGCCCATCTCTCTGTCACTGATCTGTCTGTCTGTCTTTGTCCATCTATCTGTCCATCGTTTGTCCATGCTTGTACTTTCTGACAATTCTAGTGTTTGTACCAATTATCTACTGTATCATCCTCATATGACCCTGACTATAGTACGGACTTTAAGTCAAGAAAAAGTTTGATTTCAATTTTATCTTAATGTATTTAAATTCTTTAATCTTCACTCTATTGATAATCTCTGTAATTATTTGTACTCCACAGCTGCCAAAGACTATGAAAACGCACAAAATGCCAAGTAAGTAATGTTTCCAATTCTTCATCAAATTTCCCCGTTTTAATGGAATGAAACCGTAGTATAAGCCTAACTGTCTCAACACAACGTCTCGTAGCTTCAACACAACATCTTATAGCTCCAACACATCGTCTCGTATAGCTCGGTTATAACCTCGACTGACACCCTTCGATGTAGGCCATTTTGACAATCTCTTGATTATCGTTTGAAATCTGCCCACTTGATCATTTCATGACAATTTCTATATATGTGTCATTTGCAAGAATAATAAAATTTTACAAAAAAATTGTTTAGGTAATTATGAAAAATACATGTATCGTACAGCTACAAAATTTGAGCATTTCATTTTAGTGGATCAAATCTGTCTCAGAAAATTGGAATTTTTTTGGAAATATTGAAGAAAAAAAGGAGGATAACCTTTTTTTCATTGAGAACTTGGATTTAGATGATAAACTTTGAGTCAAAAAATAAGATTGAAGAAAAATCCTAGGTTTGACATTAAATCAATTGTTTAAAATGGCAGCTATTGAAGGAGCAGACGACGACCTTTGATAGTCTGTTATATATACAGACTTAGAGAATGCATGCACTTCATACACACATGTTCTGTATGGGAATTATGTGTAATTTTTAGTTTAAATGGACTTGCAAAAACCGTTACAAAATGTCACGTCCTGGTAGCTGACAACCCCAACATTCGGCAGAGATGTAAACAAACTTAGATGATGCATCCATATTTTCTGGATTTGTAAATATATTTGTTGAAAACCTATTCTCAATTGGAGACAAATTCTGTTTTCGAGCTGATTTAATCTTGACAAAAGATTTTACGTATGTAAAAATCTGTTTGAAATCTTTTCTTGTTTTCATAACAGAAACACTAGTCTCTGTAAAAATGATATTTTTTTCTGAAGTAAGAAATCATACAGAAGAATCATTTTTATCCTTGAAAATATGATGTACATCTATATTATCTAGATCTCTGCCACCAGTGTTTTCTTTATTAGTTGTTGTAGCCATATCTACAGTAAAACTTGCCAATAGTACATTGTTATTTGGCCCCTGCATTTTTAGTTTACTTCCTGATGTGGAAAATGTTACAATCCTTTGTGTTGCTTCTTCCTCACATTTTTATTTGCATTTTGTTTTTCAGCAGGCAGACACAGCCGGTAAACGGCATAAATATTCCTGCCAAACCAAAACGAGGCTTCGACAATCCAGGTATGGACACAACAGAGTTTTACGAGTCCTATCATCTGGACCAAACGCGTGGCATGAGTGGTAGTACTAATATGTGTGAGTAGTGGTTTCTCTACTAAAACAAGGTCACAGCAACCCTGTTTCCAAACACTCACTATTTTACTCAGAATAACTCATAAGAATCATTAAGAATCTTTAAACCAATAAAAAAATCCTTATATTTAGACTTCAACTGTCTGTCCAAACTGTATCAGTCAAAGATAAGGCAATATAACATTTCATTTTCACATACTCACTACAATTATTTGTTTATATATAGCATCAAATTTGACCTACTTTTTCATAACTAGGTCATTGTTACTCTAACATTACTCAATATCACACTTCTTTGATTGGTTCTCTTCAAAATTTATGGAATACAAGTAAAGTTTAAGTAAAAATAGACAAGGGAAGGGAGGGGGAGGGGCATTTCCTTCTTTTAATAAAAAAACTTTTCTTACAATGCAAAAACATTGTTTTAAAAAGTCATTTTTTAAAATTCAGAAACAATAAACTGTTCAGCTTTATAATCAGGAACTTTCGAATTGTAATCTGAAATTCGACCATATTGTTGCTGTTTCCTGTTGCAGGCATGCATTAAAATCATAATGGACTTCTGTTTTTAAACAATTGATCTTCATCCCTTACTTTCAAAACAGAATATCAAAATTTTTGAAAGAAATGAAAAATAAAAAATTATGATTTACTTTCACTGTAAACTTCGTACAATCAGATTTTAGCACAATATCTTTATCTTTTGGCAAATAATCACAGTGCTGAATTAGCGCATTCACAATTATTGCTAAACAAAAATTGCTGAAATTAGTACAATCATATTTTAGCCGAATTTGATTTCTGCTAACATATGTATTGTTACAGTATATCAAATACAGACATAGTATGTTGGCATATCGAATATAATTTTTATTACAAAAACTACATATCTAAGTGTAGCAAATAGATTATTGTATTTTGCGATCAAATTATAAACAAAATAGAGGTCTGTTTTCCTTCCAATATTGTTTGTGCACTTGCTTGCTTGCTTGTTTTTCTTGTATGCTTTGTCTTCTGTTTTGATTGATTGATTGAAAATGATTTTAATTCTTGCTGGTAAGAATATTGTTTATTTCATAAAACTTGAGAAGTTCAAAAATATATTTCAAAAATTTTCCTGAAATTATAGTAAAGAAAAGTATTATTTGATGAATTTTAGAAATTTTGAAGTTAAGAATTTATTTTTTGAAGATATCAATCCAGCAAACCAGAAGATATCAAAATCCTTGTTATTTTCATCTGTTTATCTTTTTTTCCTCTGAGTTTTAAAGTAAAACCTTGTTATACTGTCATTGTAGTGCATTATAATGGCACATTTTATCATTATACAGAGTTTGGCGTTGTATATTATAAGTCAGATTCAAGATTTAAAAATCATTTAGAAAAAATGAATGATATGAAAACTGATGACATTAAAAAGATAGAAAGCAGCGTTATTGATGGAATTTCAAGGTTTTACATCATAACCATATCAGCATTTTGTGCAAAATGTGAAATCCATTTCTTTGCTTAAATCATTATTCTTCACCTGCTTGGAAATTTTGCCACATGTAAACTAATAATTTCACTTTTCATTTAATAATCAAATAATACACATTTATATCTATATATTCTAAGCTTGGTGGTTGGTTATCTCCCCTTCCTTCAAGGCACTTTCCTTTTGACAATTTACCTTCCCAAAGCTTCAATTACCTCCCTTTGCAAACTTCCCCTTGCCACCAGATGTCACTGTATGCAAAACAAATTACTGAATTTATGTTTTAAAAAAAAATTTTTTTTCTTTGAAATGATACTATGTTCTAGAAAGTGTGATAAGTTCTTAAAGAAATATGTTGCAACAGAAGATGAAAAGTATCATATAAGAAATTGTAATTTCATCCATTTTGTATTTGGTCAAGTCATTTTTTGTGAAATTTTCATTTGATATGATAGAAAGATGATGTATGAATTTTCAGTATGAAAACTAGATAAAGGATATTCACCTTTTGATGTGTTGATTCACATATCAATTAATTTCAGATTCTGGACTGAACCATATGAATTATCCTTCTCATGCTAATAATGGCCACACCCCCAATGGGAATATCCCTCTAGACACCTCATACGATTCTCAATTAGAGAAACGTCTGTATGAAAACGAAATGAACAGACGAAACGACAGTAAGTTATTCATCATTACACAAAATAGTAAAATATCCTTTTCACCCCTTTGTGAATATATTAGAATCTTCTTTCCCAGAATTGGGTGAAACTATTGTCCCTTAGGAGAGTTGAAAGGTTGGTTTCTCTTTATTTCTATGGCACAAAATACACAGTATATAGTTTATGCTCATATCACCAGTATTTCATTGAAATTACAGTTTTAAAGAAATTACTGGTAATTTAGGCAATTAATCACCAAGGGAGATAACTTTGAAGTTACAGAGCATGTTTTTTCTTCACCAATCAAATCATTAAGCACTATCACCTCATTTGCAACATGATCATAATTAAATCATTCACTCATTTTATCCTCTTTGTTTTGTTTTTCATAGTAAAGATTTATTTCATAAGTGTGTGTTGTCTCCCTTGTGTAGTACTCTTCAGTATTTTCAGTTTTTAGTTGAGAATTTATTTTACTAAGGTTAGATTTTTTGAAATCAATTTAGAGGATGGTTTATTATCACCTTTTATGTGTTGTGTGTAGTTTATATATAATTATCTCCCCTTTGGTTTAGTTACAAGCATTCTGATTGGGGAAATAGTAAACCAATCATATTGCTCCAACTTGTTTTTGAGTTTGTTTGGTTTTGATATTTTGAATTTTTAATACTACTGATATAATCTTGGTTTTGGTTTAATTGTTTCTTAACTTTGAGTTGCAATTTTCATTTATTGTAATATATACCATAGAATTTAATGAAGACAGAATTTTTGACAAAAAAAAGAAGAAAAAAATAATATTTAAAACAATTTTTAAAAAAAATAATTTTGAAAATTTTATTTGAAGAAAGTATATTGAATTCATATTACACTTGTTTACAATAAATATTCATGAAGGGATCATTTGATATGACATTTGCTTAGAGAGGAAAAGAATCAAAATAATGATTAAATGTATTATCACTTGGCATGTCTGTACAACAACAAGGTACAAAGGGATGGCTATCAGTGTTGTTAAATTGTATTTGTCACCTATTTAAATGTAAATTTTACGTGTTTACAGATATGAATAGCGAGGCTTTTAATCACAACAAACAAACAGGTGGGTAGCAACTTGATTGTCTTTTTGTATCTTTGTTTTTCCATTGTGTCTTCATTACCATTTCTTCCCGAGAAGCCTAGTCAGTCTAAACAATGTCAGCTTCACCTGTTTAACGAGTTGGCTTTTCAAATTGTTTATTTTTTTTTCAAATACCGATTAAAATGAATTTTGATTCATGCAATGTTAACATTGTAATGCTTATTTTAAAAGTCAAAGAGGATGAAAATTTCGCGTTGAAATGTTAAAAAGCTGATGAAGCGTATGGATTAGGTTTGCATTAAGACGTTTAATCTAGATCTCCATTTGTCTGTGTTTTTATATAAAAGACTGACATCTACTGAAGTTGAACTGTTGATGTGATCATCTGCGCAATTTAACGGACAATTAATTTTGTGTACGACTAGCTGATCTAATTATCCTGTGTGAGATTTATCTACCTCAACTAGGCACGTTTAGAACGGTATTGATTGTAGAATAAATTTTTTTTCCTTCATTTTTGGAATAATGTTTCAGTAAAGAGTGTAATTTGCATATTTAAATCGTTATTATTTTACATATATTTGATAATATTTACATAAATTTAAATACATAGATTGGTCTGATAAATTTAACATCCATCATGTAGTTAGTTTTTTAAATGAAATATTCAAATAGGAATACCATGGATATGACAATATTAAGAAATTGGAGATTAGTGTTTTTTCATTGATTGTAGAATTAGTTTTTTTCATTTCTTATTGGAATATTGTTTAGGTAAAAAGTGTAATTTGCATATTTAAATCATTATTATTTTCCATATACTTGATAATATTTACATAAATTTGAATACATAGATACATTGATTGGTCTGAGTATTAAGAAATTGGAGATAAGGTTTTTTTTTTTCATTTTTAAATTAATGTTATTAATATTTTTACATTTGTTGGTACTTGTCATCTGTGTAAACCTTTTAGAATCTCAAGAGCAGAATACAAAGCAAAGAAATATGAAGTGTTTTGGAGTGGGGAGTTGGGGAGGGGGGGAAGCTGGAAATGTTGACTGATATTAAACGAAATTCACCGTTTTTGTCTTGACAAAACGTTCATTGCCTCAATATAAAGTTTCATTTTACAAGATTTCTTTACTGGCTCCCAGTTTGTTTTTGATAGAAAATCTGGTCTGCATGGAGAACATTCAATTTCTTTAAATACATTACCAAATTCATTTCTTGCTTGTTTTGTTGTGAAATGAATAATAAACTCTTGATATTTGAGTAGTGTATATATATAAAAAAAAAAATGGACCAGAATTCTAAATTTAAATTTGAAAAAAAAAAAAATCTGCCATAATTTTTGAAATTACCCATAACTCTCTTGTTTCAGATTCATCTATTCATGGAACACCTAGAAAAGATCAACAACAGTACATTGACCTCCATCCGGAGGACCATAAAGAGGGCGGAAGTTTTGGAAGTGGCATGGAGAGTGGTTATTCAACTCCTGATTCATCCAAACCAAAAAAGGTTATTTACGAGGTTGTTGTATGATGTTCTGGAGCCACTTGTGCTATTTATAGTGTCGTGAAGTACCTGTGAGGCTACATGTTGTCATGGTGATCAGGACAAAAAAATCTGCCTCATTCTGAGGAGCATAGCCAAGAGGCTGCCTCATTCTGAGCAGTGTGACAAAGAGGCTGCCTCATTCTGAGCAATGTGACATAGAGGCTGCCTCATTCTGAAGCAGTTTTATGACACCATGTCATTGATGAATTGACCTCTGTGACAATTTGTGCTTCCAAAAATCTCCAAGCATGGGTATTCCCAGTTCTGTGTCGTCTATGTTTGTGTTGATGCCATAAGTGTTCCTCATTTCTATTGGTGGAAACCAAAAATCCCCATGCCTCTTGTTGTATATGATACAAAAATCCCAAGCTGGTTACCAAAATTGTTGCCATAGTAACATCACAACACCATTTGTTCTGATGACTGATTTAAAGAGTCTCTTTGCAAGGCTTAATGGATTTTTACCTTGTTGTCAAGGCGACAGCATTACCTTGCTGTGAAGGCGACAGCATTACCTTGTTGTGAAGGCGACAGCATATTCTTTATAGTAAACATTTTTTTTTAAAAAGTGCTCTATGAGGTTTAACTATGATCCACATCTACAAACGTTTATAGGATGTAGGATTTTTTAACATGGTAATCAAGCATGATTATGATCTCGAAATTCCATGTGCTCAGGGGAAGCAAGACATGGGAAGACATTTATTCTGGCGAAGAGAATCGCTGTATGTGTAGGCAAACACATGTACCCGTATACGCAGACGACATGACACCCACAAAACTTTTGTATACGCAGAAGTCATGACACGCATCCTGCTGTACGCTGATGTCTGATCGCAATAATACACAATAGTTTTAAGTCTATATAAATCATTTGTCATCATTTAACAAAGTGAAAGTGTAAATAACTCACAAATTCAATAATTTATGACATTAGAAATTGTTTTCCTTAAAAAAATCATTGAAGGAAATAACTTGCAATAACATATTTTTTTTCTGAAATCCAGTAGAATTGTCATTTGTTGAATATGAGACTTTACTGCCATCTTTGTCATCAAATATTGTTGTCTTTGCTGCAGAGGGGGTTTTTCATGATTGGTGCTCAGTTGTTAATCATGTTATGTGTCTCTGGTTCCATTTCAGTTATGAAAGAAATTTTGAAATAAGGTTTGAAATATTCAAATATATGTTAACTTAAAACATGATTGATATTTTTGCCCACCATATATGTTTTGTGCTTATGTTCATTTCTTAAAACTTTGTAAGTGCAAAACCAAAATTTGTGTTCTGCTAAGTGTAGAATATTCTGTTGTTTTCAGGAAATATCTTCTTTAATCCAAAAATTATTTAAATCAGTACAATCTATCAACGTGAAATATCTATATATAAAGATTTTTATTACAGAGTGTATTTAATTTTTAAATATGTAAATTTTAAATGTTGCTGTAAATCACAAAGTGGCCAACCCGAAAGAAAATTGTTTGTTGTTTTAAATACTCATTCAATAGACGCATTCACATGAAATATATGGTTTAAATTCTGTTTATGGAAATTAATTTAAAATTTAACAAGAAAATTGACTTTCTAAGGGTGAGAGAAAAAAATTATGCTCCATGTTGATAAAAACTTATCGTTTAGTTAAATATTGAAAATATATCTTTGTCATGAGAATTTTCTTTAAATTAACCTGAAAATTCAAATTTAATCATACATATGCTTTGGTCCTATACTGTTTGTTTCTTAATATATATACAGGCAGAAAGAGTGTGTGTGTTTTTATATAAAAAAAAATGTTGCGTGAATGTTTTTTTTTTTTTTCTCTCTTTTTTTAACTCATGTACCTCAAAGTTGTAAATACAAAAAAATAATTTTGTGTATTACCCTTGTAATGTCCGTGGATTTGAAAGTTCGGCTTCAAAAGCCAGTGTGTTTGAATAATCAGAGTTCAAGGGTTTTCATTTTGGCCTTGTTCAAAGTTTTTGGAGAATAAGTTATGTTCAGGATAATGAACTCAAAATCAAAATATACCAATTTTGAAGGTATATTATCATAAAACATTGAATCATTGGAGAAATATTTCTTATTTCTTTGATATTAAAAAACAAAACAAGAAAAAATTGTAATTACATTTTTTTTATTCTTTGCATAAATCTAAACTAAAACAACTAAAATGCTTTAAGATTTGATTTTTCAAAATCATCACTGACTAAAGCAGAAAGGAGCGTTGGCATAACTGTTTATAATGTTTTACTTGAATTAAAAATAGATCTCTCGATGGCTACTTCAGAGAGTAAACTTAATGAATAAACATGTTTGTTACAAGAGAAACTCTTCAAAAATTTAATTACCGGAATATAATTTGAATTCCAAAAATGATTGAAGAGAATAAAAATGAATCTCCTTGGTTTGTGAGAAAACATAATTATTTTTGTACATTTTTTGTAATTCTATGAAGTTGTAAATATTTAACTATGAAACATATCGTCCATAAAACACATATATCTTACACAACAAAATATTATCCTGAAAGGGGAGGTAACTTGACCTCCACTCTGAATAATGCCACACTAATCAAAATCTTTCACTGATTGAAGGGAGATAACTCCAATTTTATAAATATTTTCTTTTCTGTGCCTTTCATGAAATAAATTTCATACTGATGCAAGTTATATGCACATATCATATTTTTCATTCAATCTAATTTTTGAGATGCAATATCTTGAACCGTCCGTCATCAAAAAAAAAAAGATGCACTGCTTTAAATATATAGATCAGAAATACCATGACACATCAAAATCACTTGCCTTTAGAATGCTGTCATTTTTCTCCCATTACAACTGTACTTAGATTTGGCAAAAAATTAAAGTGTTGGAAAGTGTTTTTGTTATTAGTTCCCTTTTAGGTAGATATTTTCGTGGTTTCAGAATAAAACTGTTGGTTTAATAGTTCCTGGTTCTTTGTTTCCTGTTATAGATTCTGTAATAATGTTTCGTGTTGAATATCTGTTTCTTTATCTATAGACCTAACCACTGCCAACTGATCATTCAGTTTCCTTTCTGTGAAGTTATTTTTCCCTTAAATAATTATAAATTTTCACATTATCTGATCTCTAAATGTGAATTTTAAATTTACATGAAAGTCATCCCAAACACTTTTTAGATTGCTGAAATATATTAATATTTTTATCCCTAAATATCAGTTATTACTTACATTAATTAAAATGTTAGCCCAGAGGTGACCATATTGAAACAAAACTAATAATTATGATACAAACTAGAGAGAAATTAGATATATTAATCTTTAAAATTTTTAAGTTAAAGAAATATAGTCAAGAATTATAAATGTAAAACAATTTTTTAATCGAGAGTCAAGATGTATATATTGTATGCATGTCAGCATAGTTAGAAATACTGTGACATAAGATTACAGATGTTTGATATACAGGATCTGGGTTAACCAAAATCTAACAGTTCCAGTCGTTGCATTCAGACCAACCATTTTAGAGGATGAGTGTTTTTTTGTTGTTTTTTTTTTTTTCAAAGAAATTCAGTGAGAGAACTTTTGCAGAAGATGTTAATCAAAAGTAGATTATGGAAAGCGAGAGACGATCAGAGGGTTAGAATGAAAAAAGAAAAATTGGAGAAAGCTAAGGATGAAAGTGAAAGTATAGGAATACCAGAACTGGTGTTTGATAATGAAAGCGTGAAAGATGAAAAAGAAGCTGAGATAATGAGTTGAATTAGAAAGGGTATAAGAGAGTGATAGAACAGATGATTGAGAGTGGCAGAGGAAAGAAAAAAAGATGTTAGAAAAAATGAGATGCTGTGAGTGAGAGAGGAGAGAACAGAGATATAAAGGTACAAAAGAAAGACTTGCACAAGTCATTTTATTTTTGCACCTTTAAATATTATGTATAAAAATCAGCATGTAGATTTATTTATACCTGTATCTAGCGCCTGTACATTGTAGAAAATCTAATTGAACATTTTTGTAACAAAGAATGAAAGAAAAAAAATGGTCATAATAAAAATATTATAAATAAGTTATTTGTTGGTGTTCAGTGTTGTCCATGTTGTATTACATAGTTCAGCTGCCTGAAAGAACACGGAGCTGAGGCCGTGTCAACTTTTACATATACATGTCATATTTTGAAAACACCAAGAGGCCAGGAGTTGTCCTTCTGCCAGTTATATTTTTGAATGAAGGACAATGATGTCTCATATTAATGACGCTTACCCTATTTCAAAGTCACATAAGCTGAATGTGTAACAATTTTTCAATAGTTTTTTTTCTGAATAACTAATAAGCCCAAACTATTGCTATGTGGCTTGTGGCTTATACATTGTAGCAATATCAATTTTTTTTTTCAAATTAATGACCTTGACCTACTTATAAAGTGACACGTGCTGATTGTGTTTAAATCTGAATAACTGAAGGCTTAGCTTACCATTGGTAGGGTGTAATGAAAAGCAACCAGATTTATCCGATTTAACTACTTTTAAGGCAACACAAGTCGAATATGTAAACAATTTCGAAAAAATGGAAAGGCCTAACCATTCCCATATAACATTAATGATTTACCAAAGTTCACACTCAACAATGGCGTTTATTCATCCCAAGACGTTTATAAATATCCAGGAAGAAAAATCTGCAAACCTTAAGAGAATAAAACTTTGACACAAGACACCGGGAAAGGCGAGTCATAATTAGACTGTCCGGAGGTCTTTTCACGACTGTTTTAATGGAACACCAGTCTTAAACTGCGGTCTCACGAGTGTCTCGTCTAAAGCTCGTTGGCATGACGTCTCTCCTACTCCATTATGCCGATACCAAAATAAAGAAAAATTATATGTTTATTTTAATAATGTCCGCTGAAGGCCGTAACAGTTGAATAGATAAATTATTCTTCTGGAGTCAGAAATTCCTCATACTGGCGGCGCTATTTGATGATAATTAAGAAGGGCTCCGAAATACATGTGAGCATGTTGCTGATAATGATAAATGCCAAGGACTTCCGAAACATCTTTCTGCAGACGACAGACCTGGATATTCTAAGGAATTAAGGAGTCCAAATGAGTTAATTTTAATGATCCACTAATGTTTACATCTTCTTTACAATTTTACATGCATATGAAACAAACAAAAAAGGAAATTCAGGGAACTTTGAATATGTATTACAGAAAACCAGAAATTTCTGTTTCTATGTGAGATTTGAATCTGGATGTGTTTGATGCTCGCTTGTTTACTTCGTGGTTTCGTTGTTGTTTAATTTGTTCTTATATGGGAACGTGACATTACTTACTTGGACTGATAAAGATTTACACGTGGGGCGTCCTTACAACAGAAGACACTTATACTGCCGGAACACCTGGTCTTAAGTTCCTTGTACTTTTATATGAGTCTCGGTGTAAATCTCTACTTTGTTATTATTTTGCCGTAGTTTATCAAACTTATGTTTGAATTAAGATTTTTTATTATTGTTTTAGAAGGACATGGAGAGACATTTCAATCTGTTGTGTTTTAGTATTGATCAATCTAACAATATTATGTTATAGAGTTTTCACGAGGAGTGACACCACGACTCGCGTTGTTATAACATGTTTTCGTACTGGCAATAACCAGGATCTCTGTCAGTACAGTGACGATGTAAATGACAAAACTTATCGAACACCTTCCACACATCAAATATTCTCCACACCCTCCGAGGTTTATATCCTTTAAAGTTTTACATTTACTGTGCCCACAAAGATTTACATGGTGGGTGTTGTCGATGAAGCAGAAGACCCTTACTCTTCCGAAACACCTGGTTTTATGCTCTTTATACATTTTCATTATTTTCCATGTAAATCTTTCTTTTCTTCTTCATTTTTTTTATTAGGATTAAAATCACGTGAACAAAACATACCAGTAAAGTGTTCTTCAGCTGTACCAGACACGAGGGAATGTTACCTATGGTTGAATATGTCCACGATCAAGAAAGCTGTTCCCGGCCCCGTACATGCTAATCTCCCAGAGTTACCTCCCTTAGCTCTGTCTCTCGACATGGTATATTTATAAGCTTGACAGCCGAAGAGGAAAGGATTATTCCCGCGCCCTAAACCCAAACTCCGTACTACTATTACCGGTATAGACGTTTCCAACAGGACGCTCTCCAATCTACTCTGAATTAATATCATCTCCTAAGTCCGTATTAGTTGAAACAATAATATATTTGCGGTTTTTTTTCTGCACAATGATAACCGATATTTATAAAGTGATAAGTTAACACATTCGGACACCTCTATGGTAATAATTCGTGCGATCCTATCTGAATCAAATGTATCTCATAATGGAAAAATGTTTATGACCCTCGCTGAAATCGGAAATACAAACATAATGGAACATGACGAATGTCACTGAATGTGTTTGTATTCATCACATAGCTTGTCTTATATTTCACTGGATTCACCTATGTCATATATATGTCAAGTGTAATATACCCAGGAGGGGTTTACACTGGCTGCACCAGTCAGAAATCGATTTAGATTTCTTACTATGGACAACTATCTGATATACTAGTAATGCATGGGACATGGGCAAACAAAATGGCTGCCTTCATTTTTGTCCTCCCCGTTGTTTACTTTAAAACTTTTCAGAATAAAACTTTTGTGTTCCTTGTATCTACAGTTTTATTTAGATGTCATGGTTTTCCTTGTATCTACAGTTTGTTTGGTGTCTCATCGCTTAATGTTGCTTTTCCCCGTTTTCGTTCAAAGAATGCCCTTTGATCCGATTTTACATCTGTTTTAAAATGATGTTGTTTTTCCTTTTGTTTTGGTGTCTTCCTGCTACTGCAATATTGATTATCATTTTTTTAATTTTTTTTTTATGCAGTGTATTTTTATAATTCAGATCAGAAATTTCATCTTTGTCTGTTAATTTGTTTGATTTCTCGTCCTGGCAACAACTTCGATCATATAAAGGTAATGCCCGCAGATTATGCGCCCTTCTTTTATTTCGCTATCAGTATAATGTCACCGATTTGTTTAAAATGCTGTCATGTCCTAAGGCCACATAAAAGTATCTGCTAAAACATTTCTTCCTTGTACGCCGATGATATGAAACATTTCTTTGTGTGCCGGCGTTATGTTTCTTCCTTGTGCGCCGACACTATAAAATCTCACCATTTACACCAACGCTATGGAATTTTATACACCCTGCTGTACTGTAGTTATTCTAAAATATTTCAAAACTATCCATATGATTGGCGATATAAACCATTATCGTGTGATGCTTGAATCTAGGTCTACGCGAAAGAAACCAGCTGGATATGATTTGTATTGTATCCAAGCCTTATTTGTTCCTGGTATTGTTGAGAAAGAGCCTGCCCTACATTATTTTCCTCGCCGTTAAGTTTGTGTGTTTGTGCCATCTTCTGTTTTTGTGAGACTTGGTGTTAAAAGTTGAATAGAAAGTTTGCTGTGAATGTCATAACATCCGATCTAAAAAGGTTATCTGAAATTAAAAATCGAAATTATTTTGTGTGAAGATTTAACATATTCTTGTCGCTTTTTATTTCAGAAACAAAAACACCGCCACCTAACTGTTTCTTCATACTACTCCGAACACTCACAGTTTGCACACGACCCTCCGGGTCACACGTGCGGCCTCCCATGCTGCAACAGTGACCTCTACGTGCACTTGAAAGTTCAAGGTCATCATGCTGGATGCATGGCTATACCATTTCTCCAACGTAAAATCATCGAAGACAATTTCACTTTTAGAAAACACCAACGGAGTTTATTAACTGGCAGACCCATGTTCACCAACTACTTTCATTCTCTGCAGCCACCGAAACCACCCACTCGGAAACCGCTTCCTAAATTTGGAACCACTCGGAATTTGTTTCATCCTGGAGACTCTTCTACAGATCCGGGGAATACGCTTGATCACGAGCTCTGGAAAAATCAAGGACATTTTCTCACTGGAAGGGAGATAACCCTCCCAAGAAATATTAACCAGACCTATGAACAATACCATTTTAAAGATTTTGATTTTGGAGAGAGTGTGGATATTGATACAAGTGATAGTGAAAGTAGTTCCGATTCTTCTTCTGATACGGATTACTACGCCAAGATTCCAAGTATTAAAGAAGAATGTACCGCCGAAATACCACGGTTACCTGATAATCTTATATACCCTTGGGATCTCCTGAAATCGAGAACAGAAAACACCGACGACACAAAACCTGACTACAACGGAACTGATACAACACCCACACAGGTCACAAAAGCTGATTATACCGGAACTGATACAACACCCACTCAAGTAACAAAACCTGATTACAACGGAACTGATACAACACCCTCACAGGTCACAAAACCTGATTACAACGGAACTGATACAACACCCGCACATGTCACAAAACCTGAGTATAATGAGACTGGCATTATAGCCACAATTGCCACAAAACATGTCCATGACGATATTGACACTACAACCACACAGGCCACAAAATCCTGCCATCAGGAAACTGGCACTACGCTCAAATTAGACACAAAACTTGTCCGTAACGAATTTGGCACTACACACACACTTGCCACAAAAGCCGTTCATCAGGAAAGTGACAATAAAACACAGACCATAAGTGACAATAAAACCGTACAGGGCGTAGAAAATGTTATAACTTCCTCGATGTTAAATGGTGTTACCGCCTGGAACATCGTCGGGAATCGTTCAGAATTTTCCGTCGGTGTTACAAAACACGATAACACAGTGTGCCATCAACACCTGTATGTGGGCTCGAGGTCTGACTCGGAATCTCAAACGACGAAACCTGATACGGGTTATTTAAAGGAGACTGATATTCACGGAGATTCTAAAAACACACAAACTGCAGAAGAAAATTCAAATGGTGTGAAGGTTGAAGGGGATTCTCAAAACATGAAATCTGGAAAAGATTTTACAGAAGACATGAAGGCTGGCTCAAAGTCTCACTCAAAAAATTCAGGAAAAGACAATTTTGTGAAAACGAC